GGAATTACTGGAATTGATTTACCGGAATTATTTGTATTTTTTTAAACTATGTACAAAAATTTTTTTTCGAATTATCATTGAAAATTTATTCTTTTGAATATTACGTTAAATTCCTTAAAACTATCGGAATTAATTCGAAATTACGGGAATTATTTTGGCATTACAATTTTTAAGTTGGAATTACAGGAATTAATTGGGAATTGCAGGAATTAATCTAAAAACAATTTTTGGTGAAATTTTATTGGAATTACTGGAAACTGTCAACTCAGAAATGTCAAACTTAACAGTATCTCGATAACAGTTAGCTAAACGAATAAATTTTTCTCATAATATTTAATATTTATTTTGCTATTTCGTAATCGAAACGTAGCAGTGACCATTTATGAAAATCAAATTAGCAATTTATTCAATTATTTACCAATTCAAATGTATTTTATTGTCCTTTTGTATATTCATACACTACAATTATTTTATTATACTTCCTTATACATACCATAAATTGTTCTCTAATACCTATTTAACATTTCGAAAACAATTAGTTCAAATAAAATTGAACCCACCTATTCAATTAACTCATTCAAAACATAACAATGCGTTTTATTATCATCGTAAAAGACATTATTGTGAAGGTCTCTTTGAGAACCTTGATACGATTTCATTAAGTCTGCTTGAATAATTCATAAAAATTTGAACCAGTCTGAAAATTTCAAGTCTTGAAAACCACTCCTCGTTTGAATAGTGAGCTGCGACAGACTTAAGCGTTTTGGTGTTAACTTCCACCGCTGGTCGTTAGATGTCGCCAAAAGTCTAACTGCACAGCTGGTTGCCTCCCATTTTATCAAAACAAATCAGTAATAATTTAAGATTATTCTCGCGAACTAAACGTTTTAATAAAATCATTTCTAAATTGCACATTGAGTTCGTTAATGAACTTCCAACTATCTTCAGATTCGCTCCTTAATTAAATTTACGTTAAATTACACATCCGCGCTTTTCTTCATGAAAGGATGAATCGCGAAACATAAGTAGGTAGCAAGATTGCGACGAACGGTTTAGTTTAATCAAATAGCTTTTTTCAGGTGAAATTTTTGATCCACTTATGTGAAACTATCTGAAACTGATCCAATTAATTTAGTTGAAGCAGTTCGTTCCATCATGCGAGGCATTAAATAAATATCGAATGACGTAGTCAGAAAACGTAATCGAGTTTGAAATATTATGCAAGTGGCAATTCGCTCCCCAAAAGCGTGAACTAGTGCCGAAATTCGCTAATGTTCCTCCAGTTGCACACAATATTTGGCCGCTGAAGGCATTCGCATCGCCTCCGAAATCTAATTACTTTGCTTTCGCCGTTCCTTCTGTATATTGTTTGTAAGCACCGCCATGATTTATTTATGATAACAAGCTCTACGTTTCCATTTCAGTACTGTTGCATTAAAATTAAACGATTTATTATAGTTAGCTCGCGTCCACAATTCACACTTTAACTGAAAGAAACTGCCACTGAAAATTATTTTCAAGACGCGTCCATTTACGAAAAATAATTAATTTCGGTTATTTTCTCTCAATCGGAAGTCTATCATCAATTTATCACCAGGAACACGAAAAAAATGTTTGAAAAATTCTATTTGTTAAATTTTTTTGTAAAGGTACAAAATTTGGCAAAATAACAGAGTTACAATTTAGGATACAGCTTTCTTGTTTATTTTTCTAATAGCCTATAGCAAAAACAATAAAATTATTTTTCCGACAGAAATAATTAGAGTCAAAGTGCAAAATTTAAACTCTCATAACTTCAAAATTTTTATACATAGAATTTTTCAAGCACTTTTTCTATGTTGCCTTAGACGGAATTTTTCTCTGGGGCGCAAGTTCTCGCGCAACCTGTATAAGATAGAAAAATTATTACCTGAAGGACTATTTTGAATTAATTTATGGACAATTTTGTCAACTTAACGAACGATTTCAGTTAT